TTAACACGTTCCGTGCCGAGCTTTTTTTACTCGAATCTTCACACTTTGATATTTTACTAAAACTTGATGTATTACGTGCAATTATTAATTCTCGTACACTTAACAACGTAACAAAAACTTATCAACGCCCATTCTTGCGGTGGAAATTGATTCTTCGGTTCTAAATTTCTTGTAAACAATTTGTTCAGTTCACTAAGTAAACATGCAAGCGTGTACCATCGATGGTACACGTGGCACGGAACGTGTTAATAATTCGTAAACAAAGCCACGGGTTGCATTTTAGCTAAGGAAAAAGTTACTTCAAATGATCCCAAAAACTTCTCATTTCCGGTTTGCGAGACATTTTTGAGACACCCTGTATATTTGTTACTATTTCAACGATATCTACAAATTTTTACAATGAGAAGTAGTCAAGATTGATAATACATTAACAAGATGTGTATAAGAGACAGCCACTATAGTGGCTTTCGCGGATGTCATCTCTCTGGACGACGCGCCACTATAGTGGCTTTCGCGGATGTCATCTCTCTGGACGACGCGCCACTATAGTGGCTTTCGCGGATGTCATCTCTCTGGACGACGCGCCACTATAGTGGCTTTCGCGGATGTCATCTCTCTGGACGACGCGCCACTATAGTGGCTTTCGCGGATGTCATCTCTCTGGACGACGCGCCACTATAGTGGCTTTCGCGGATGTCATCTCTCTGGACGACGCGCCACTATAGTGGCTTTCGCGGATGTCATCTCTCTGGACGACGCGCCACTATAGTGGCTTTCGCGGATGTCATCTCTCTGGACGACGCGCCACTATAGTGGCTTTCGCGGATGTCATCTCTCTGGACGACGCGCCACTATAGTGGCTTTCGCGGATGTCATCTCTCTGGACGACGCGCCACTATAGTGGCTTTCGCGGATGTCATCTCTCTGGACGACGCGCCACTATAGTGGCTTTCGCGGATGTCATCTCTCTGGACGACGCGCCACTATAGTGGCTTTCGCGGATGTCATCTCTCTGGACGACGCGCCACTATAGTGGCTTTCGCGGATGTCATCTCTCTGGACGACGCGCCACTATAGTGGCTTTCGCGGATGTCATCTCTCTGGACGACGCGCCACTATAGTGGCTTTCGCGGATGTCATCTCTCTGGACGACGCGCCACTATAGTGGCTTGCTCTAGTAGCTCACCTGTCTCTTATACACATCTAGATGTGTATAAGAGACAGGTGAGCTACTAGAGCAAGCCACTATAGTGGCGCGTCGTCCAGAGAGATGACATCCGCGAAAGCCACTATAGTGGCGCGTCGTGCCTAAAAGGTTAAAAGTGTTGACTCAGTTTTGCTCCTCGCTGCGTATGCAACAATAGATAGACTTTTATAATTAAATATGGATGCAAAAGAGAATGTCCCAGAACATTTTAAGACCCAAAATATTGATTTTTAAGCGACAGGGTTGAGGCCATATTTGTATCCTGTCTTATTTACGATATAATTTCAATAAGGACAAACAAACTGAAGTGTAATTACCGAAGGCTTCGCTTCACCGTAGTCCTGGCAATATCCTGTTCCGCAAACGTCGATTTTAGCAGGCAGTGGTCGACCTCTGTACATCTTTCCGTCCGTCCCCTTCACCATTCCCTCCGTCAACTGCACCACTTCCGGTCCCCATTGACTGATAAAGTGACCCATTCGCATCACCCTCTGTTGAGGCGTCGTGACCGTGTGACTTCCGCCACAGTACCGGTTGCACAGGTGATCCCTGCAAATTCGATCCACCTCAAGACACAACAAAAAAAATGATAAACCCGTACCACCTAATCTCTAACTTTCCCTACAAGATCAAATAAAAATATAGGTTTTAGATCTGCGCGTTCCAGAATTTGCGAGCTTCTGAAATTCGTCGCGTCTCTCGCATTACAAGGACAATAATAGTACAATAATAAAATCTTCATTATTCTTCTACCTAGGAGTCTTCACCAGTTTCTCCGATCTCGCAGACTTTTGTTTCTTCGCCTCCTCCTGCAAGGCCGCCTCGTATTGAATCATATTTCTGCTGTGAGGCAACCGCTTGTTCTGCTTCCTGACTTGATCCAGCTCGTAAGTCAGATATGGCTTCATGCTTATACCGCACGGGAATGGATCCAGTTTCGCTTTGTTCGTGTCGTGGATCTTCATCACTACGTTCTTGTCGCAGGATATACACTGCACGTCCCTGAAAGCGCATCGAATAAATAACGGCACAGATTTTCTAATATCTCATGCGATCCGTAAACTGTAGCTTACCGAAGGAGCTTCTTCGTCCCAGCAGCCTCGGTGTCATCTCTCATCTGTGCAACGCTCCTCAGCTTGTCTTGCACGGCCTTCAGTCTCGTACTCACGAAGTCCTTCAACGGTGTCATTTCTATCTTGTCAACTTTACCCTCGATCTCTTTCTGCACCTCGTCCAACGCCTCCTGCCAAATCGTTTCCTGTTTCCCGAGTTTGTTGACGGCTTCCTCGAGGCCTTGGGCGAGATCGTCGCAAGCGGCGTCGAATTGATCGTACGAAACCTGTAACAACATTGTTGTCTTGCATTATGACGCGCGATTTAATGATAACCAGACCGCGGATTTTTATGAAAAATAAAAATCGTCCGCATCTATTGCAAGATACAGAAGCTGCAGAAATATTTATTTCTCTTCTGAACAATTTTAACCAGTTGAAAGGAACTCGATAGCATTTTTTAAGTTCTTTAAACGTAGTTTTTGTCGTGAATGCATAAAATCAGCGGTCTAGTTATAACAATTGAACATCCTCGAACCTTCCGGTGCACAGCCCGAGCATCAGCTTTGTCAGCCAGAGCGTCCTCGAGATCTTCTCTGTCTGCTTTGATCGTCTTTAGAAGCTCTATTTGCTCTAGCAACGCCTGAAACAAGAGCGATAAGGTCCTTCGAAAACCTCTTTTATTAGAATGAAAAATGATTTATCTCACGTTAAGATGCACTTCTCGATTCTCTTTATCGTCGATCAGCCGGTCCGCGGTCTGGTTCAACTTCTCCATGTCATCCTGAACACTCTGAATCTTCGAGACTAATTCGTCAAGCTCCGCGTTTCCTGTCATGCCAGCCATCGGAGCGCTATTTACTAACTCTTGAAGACAGATCACGTCTTTCTCCAACCTCGAGAGGCGTTCGTTTATGATGTTTATTTCGTCTTGGTCTATGTACTCTTCCCGGTCCGTTTCTACTTCTTTTTGCACCTTTTTAGGGCTCTCTGGGGCCTTCGGCGTAGGCGGTTGATCCGATTCCTCAGATTGCGCGATCTCTGTGCTCGCTGGAATCACCGCTTTGGGTTCAGCTTGTTCTTTCACAGACTTCTCTTTCTCGTCCTTTTTCGCTACCGCTGTTATCAATAATTTGTTCATCCGTTTCATAAATCAAAATTATACACGTGCTAAACTTTAATTCCATAAGGATTAGCGGAATACGTTTTAAATGTCTTTAAGTCCAGAACTGCCGAGTACTAAGCGTTGCTAATATATATTGTTTTGTAACAACAACAAGGTTGGATTTACTCGAACTTCGTGCAATTTCAATTACAATGTATTCTTCAGCGAAGAAAAGTTTATGAAAAGATTTCCCACAAAAAGATTTTATGGTTTCGGTAAATGTGAAAGAAAGAATCAGAAACCAGTCATTTTAACTGTCGAGGTTTCTTTAAGTCTAGAACTGCGAGTGCAAAGCGTCACTAATATATATTGTTTTATAACAACAACAAGGTTGGATTTACTCGAACTTTGTGCAATTTCAATTACAATGTATTCTTCAGCGAAGAAAAGTTTATGAAAAGATTTCTCACAGAAAGATTTTATGGTTTCGGTAAATGTGAAAGAAAAAATCAGAAAGCAGTCATTTTGACTGTCAAGGAATTTCTAAAACTGTCGAGGTTTCTTTAAGTCTAGAACTGCCGAGTACAAAGCGTTACTAATATATATTGTTTTATAACAATAACAAGGTTGGATTTACTCGAACTTTGTGCAATTTTAATTACAATGTATTCTTCGGCGAAGAAAAGTTTATGAAAAGATTTCCCACAAAAAGATTTTATGGTTTCGGTAAATGTGAAAGAAAGAATCAGAAACCAGTCATTTTGACTGTCAAGGAATTTCTAAAACTGTCGAGGTTTCGGCTTTTATCTTCAAGGAGTACTTTCTATCGTGAAGAAGGAAAAATAACATTTCGCGTGAGTTACCGGTTTGAACGTCGGCAACCTTCTCGTTCAGATTTTTCAAGTCGTCCCGCATCTTTGAGACATCCTTTTGCAACGTAATCATCTGTTCGTGCATGTCTTTGACGTCTACGCCGCCTAGGATCTGGCTCAGAGAAACCCGCGGCTGTAGACCAGGTTCTGCTTCCGGTTTCGCTGTCTGTGGTCTCGCTAACGGTTCTTCGGCATCCTCCACGGTCACATTAGCGATTATTTCCAAGTTCTGCACGGTGCTCTCCAAGTTATTAAGAACTCGCTCCAGGTTCGTTAATCTTTCCTCGAGTTCTTGCGGAACCTCCGTTGTTCCTTCGACGGCCACGTCACCTTTCAGGACATCCTGCACCATTGTCGTCAACTGAAAAAATTCGGCAGCCATGAATCGATGTTGTGTAACCTTGTACGAAGTACATAATTTGTTCACGGTAGAAAGACAAAGTGTTTGAACAAGGAGGGAAAGTGGAGCAACGAAGATGTACCTTATCAATACCTTGCTCACTGGCGTCCAATCTTTTCGTAATATTGATGATATTCCAGATATCGGTCACGGGGTCCGTAACTTTACCCTTTAGACGTTCAACGAGTTCTGCGTTCGTTGACAATTCCTCGAGAGCTTGGAATTTTCGTTGGAGCTCGATCACCTATTCATATTCCACGTAAAAAATCAATCATCGATTTTAACCAGTTAGCTGTGTTTCACGAGTATACTCGTCATGGAGAAATGGCAATACTTTGTGGCACGACGAGCATACTCGTCGTGCGTAAGAAGTAGCGACCATTGGCTATTGAAATTGTAATTTTAAGGAAAACAAAAACATATTCTCAAAATTCGAGATGTTCAGAATATTTTGAGGCCAATCCTGCACGAAGTGGTTTACATTGTTATAAAAATAAAATTAGAAAAGAATCACGGTATTGGTTTTCGACGTGCAAAATGCCATTATATATTGTTCCTTGCTTTGCTGAAATTTTTTTTGAATTTATTTGATTTTTCCTGCATTTTTAAGGAAAACAAAAACATATTCTCAAATTTCAAGATGTTCAGAATATTTTGAAGTCAATCCTGCACGAAGTGGTTTACATTGTTATAAAAATAAAATTAGGAAAGAATCACGGTATTGGTGTTCGACGTGCAAAGTGCCATTATATATTGTTCCTTGCTTTGCTGAAATTTTTTTTGAATTTATTTGATTTTTCCTGCATTTTTAAGGAAAACAAAAACATATTCTCAAATTTCAAGATGTTCAGAATATTTTGAAGTCAATCCTGCACGAAGTGGTTTACATTGTTATAAAAATAAAAAATTAGAAAAGAATCACGGTATTGGTGTTCGAAGTGCAAAGTGCCATTATATATTGTTCCTTGCTTTGCTAAATACCGCTCTCTTTATAGCAGCAATTTGAATTTTTAACCCTTTGCACTCGAAGCTATTTTAACTATAAATCTAAAATAATTTTTCTGACTTATAGTATTTTTATTTTACACGAAAAAGTGCATCCTATGCATATGAAATTGACTCTTGTGACTCGCACAACGGTTATGCTCTTAACAGATAGTTAATTTATGATGTTAATAATTAAGTTAATAATTTTAGATCGTGACATCATAAATTTTAACGGTGCCTCAGAGTCACCGCTCGAGTGCAAAGGGTTAACTTTCATAAGTATTCGATTATCCCTGGGTTTTTCGTTTATCATGTATATGGTATATGTTAACGTCGAGCGAATAAGTAAATATTAGTAATAAAATTGTTAATTTTATCAAATAAAACCGTCTTTTTGATCCAATATTTTAACAGCGACACTTACATTGTGTTCGACGAGTATACTCGTCGTCGCTTGATTCTCGCGACACACAAAGGTGCGCGCTCTGAAATGGAGGCGCCACAGCTAACTGGTTAAGCATCCTGAACCGTTCAAATTAGGAAAATTCTTATAATACGTAGCGATATCTTAAAGTCGCTTACATTTTGTTCGAGTCGTTTGAATGCGAGTGCCGAGGGTATAACATCGTTGACAATCGGTTCCACGTATATCACAGTTTCGCGAAAGTCAACGTCCTGTCCAGCTCCTACTTTTTGCCTCGACCCTTTCGACTTCCTTAAGTCGACTTGATCGTCTGGTTTGTCAAAAATTATTACGCGCTTTCGATAATTCTATGTTTCAGTACCCCATCGATGTATTCATTATTAAGAATCCGGAAAAAAACACGAATGAATTTAACCCAATTGGGAGGCAACCTTTTTCTTGGTGGCGCTCGGTCGCTGGAGCACTCGCTGATTTTTTCTCGAGTTGTCCCTTCTCTTGCTCTGTAAACAATTGTTTCGGTAACCGACTTCACCAAGAAGCGAATAAACGATTGTTTTTTTTTACCACCTGCTGCATTCTCGGTTATTACGTCTGCAGTGGCAACGACGGCTGAGCGCGTCGTTATATTTTTCGAACTGTCAATAATGCTGTACTCTTGGAGATAGAAGGATGGGCCTGTTTGCAGCGTGCTCACCATCGTCTGAAAGCATCGACATACGTGAATTCAATTCTCGTTATTAGTCCTGCTCGTGTAGATAGGTAGAACAACCTTCGAAGAACTTCGAAGAATTTGCCAACGATTAAATCTACCTTCATTCGTGCCGCCTCGTCGCCACGATATTCAACCTTCGTCGATTTCAGATCTATCTGGTGTAACAATACATGAAGGAAGTTGTGGAGGATGTTGAAATTTATCGCGCCGACCTAGACGTGAAGGGAAACGACGCACCTACTTTAAAGTGTCTCTCGTTTACTCATTTTACTAAACTATTACAAAACCAAGACGTTTTAAACGAGTCTTTTCCTTACTTCCGGTGTTCCCAGCGCGAGATCCAGCATTTGAGGCAACGAGACCTGCAGGCTGGTGACATCTTTTGCGGCAGGAGGTGGCGCAGGTTTTGCGACTTTCGCCGACATCTTCCGTCATTAAAAAATTTTCTGAAACATGTATACGAAAAGCATAATAACCATTTGCGTGCACTCCCTATAGTTCTGACAGTAAATGTCATTTGAACATATCAGTCTGGAAAGAATAATGCTCCTCCTTTGTTTCGTAGCCAGCGCTATCGGTGGAGACTCATTGATTTTTCGCTACGATTTTGAACTTTCTTGCAATTCTGAATTATCCTGTCATAAAGCGCAATCTTTCGGCTTTAATTTGTGCCCTTAAATGTTTAAAACTTCCCATAGGAACATATTTTAAAATTTATTCGAGGTATCTTCTAAACATTGTATCATTTTTCTTCAGCTACCGGTCGAAATTTATCGACTTTTTTATATGTTTTGGAATTTGTTAACAATTGCAAATTACTTGATCAAAAACGTGATTCTTCAGCTTTATAATTTAAGCTCTTAGAAGTATACAAATTCTCATAGGAGCGTTAGTATTTTTAAATCTGTTCGAAGTATTCCCTGAAAATCGAATCATATTCTTGATGTACCGATCGAGATTTATCGATTTTACGATATATTTTTTAATTTGTAAACAATTCTAAGGTACCCTATCGTGAAGAGCAATTCTTCAGCTTACGTTTGAGCTGTCGATAGTTTAAAAATACCCACGGATATCGAAATGAAATAGGCATGAATATTTAGCTTTATTTAGAATCTTTGGAAGATTTATTTATATATTCTCCTAGCACAGACTTGGAATCCGTACAGACATTGCGTGTAATGCTTTTCTTTGTCTCGGGGTCTGAATTACCGACTCTGTAGAAAATGCAGTCGTATAATAGCGGACTCTACCTAAATGGAACGGTCATCTAGTGAACTATATCTGACTGCAACAGAGAAAAGTGTGTGTCTGAGGTGGCTAAATTTACAGCGTTGCCAGCTTTTAAAAGTAGATTGCTGCCGCTTTACATATCCCTACGAAAACTATCGATGCTTGTGACGAAAGCGTTCAAGTGATTTTTTCCCTGCTTATCGGCAATGACACAGCTTTTGGGATCCGTATGGATTCTAAGTGGTAAATATGTATGTATATATACTACTTCAGTGAATGGTTCCTCAGCTGACCGTTGTCGATGAGAAGAGGACGCTGCAGTCATTCGCGAAATTGTATTAGGATTTCAATGCTTGCAACTTCTGAACGTGCGATAACGCGACAGTGCTACACCAAGCGGCCAAAGCCTGAGATTGTAATTAATACTACAACCAGGTTTGATAATGCTTCACTGGCAATGATATTAAAAGTGTAGTAGCAGAGACAGTACATACGTAGTAGTAGTAAGTAATCACAGTGGTGCAGTGTGGTGTGTATGCGATTAGTAGTGTCGGTCCGTTCATATTTTTATGGAGTCACATCGAATTTCGAAGCTGACTGGTTTTCTGTGGTTAGGGGCTCATATTTAAGCTTTATTGAACGATTCGGTATGTAAACAAAACAGTTTGGTGATATAGATACTCTATTGTAGATTCGATACTGCGAGTTATAACCTGAAATCCATTCGCAACCAATTGTCGTACGCTCGTAGAATCTAGTGAGTACGTACCCAAACAGAAACGGTATTGTTTTTATCCATGTTTATTCCAGTGAACAGAGAAAACCTTCGAATAGTGTGAATCGCGTTGACGTTATGAGAGAAAAAATATTTGACAAAGTGTCGTATACTTCATTCCCATGGCTAAAGGAAAATTAAGGGGCTCGGATTCTAATAATAAGGTAGGTTTGTGAAATATCAATATTATGACGAATAATGTTTAACGTAACACATTTCCTGTAACAAACAGTTAACAGCTTCCAATGCTACTTTTAAAAATGGAGAGACTTATACGTCAGAGTTTGAGATTAATGAAATACCACCTAGTGCCCGCACGTTACTTACAAAGGGTTACATACAAGATGAAATCAACTCCTATTCAGGTATATATCTGTTTTACCGTATCACTCTGTAATTTAGCTTCGATGTCTTTTACTACTATTCGATGAATAATTTCTAGGTGCCACTGTATCAACGCGTGGGCGTTTTATGACAGAGCAGGAAAAAATACGCTGTCCTAATGAACGTCCCTTGTACTTGTATATACAGGGCCATACAAAACATAATGTAGACTGTATGTTATTATCTTGAATCCTTTTTTTTGGAAAAGCTAAAAAGGTACATCACAAAAGCAAGTCTAAGTTATCTTTTCATTGTTTTTTTTTCCAGTGGCTATACAAAAGATTCATGAGATCATTAAGACAGAACACCAGAGTTCGTTAAATAGGCCAAGTAGATTTACTAATGCGCCACCTCCGCTTATGAGTTTACATTCCGGTATTACATCTGTGGTACGTTATACTTCTGTACGATGACTATCTATTTTGTTTGCGACTCTGTTTTATGTTTACTTACTTGTATATACATAATTTTAACAGGAAAAGATTTGTGTTGGTATAGAAAATGCTCCAGAAGGGTTTGATTTACGAGGTAGAATTATAGGTGCAGGTGGAGCAAATTTGTTATACATTAGAGCAGAAACTGGTGCGAATGTAACCTTAAGAGGCAGAGGATCACAATTTGTTGATTTAGGTTTAGGAACCGAATCTCCGGAACCGCTTCATTTGTATATAGAGTAAGATGATTGTCTGCATTATTTTCTTTAACAGTACTCTGGTTTTTTAATCGCAAAACACTTTATATGTTTTGTTTATACAGGCATCCAAAACCGGAAGCATTACAAAATGCAAAACAGTTAGCAATTAATTTAATTCAAACAATGCAGTCTGAATTACAGTCATACATACAGCAACAACCACCACCAGTACAATCACAGCAAGTTATAGAACAGTCGCAAATACAACAAAGTATGAATTCAAAACTATTTTTAATAAGCATTGTGTGCGATTATGCATTGTTACTATTGCTATTTTTATTTTTATAGCAGAATTTCAAACCATGAACATTGGTACTTTGGGACCACCTAATGTTGTTACTATACAACATCAAGGTAGAGCACATACACTAATAGTTCATGGCTGTTAGAAATTCTATTTGTAACTGTTGCAAACCATTTTTATTTCACAGACATAATTCAACATCCTCAAAGTAGTGTGGTAACATTGCCTGCAACAATTCTTACTGCTACAGTGGCTGGTGCGCCAGGGTCTGGCATAACAGTTCCTCCACCTGGAGTACACATTCCTCCTCATTCTGGGCCATTGGTGCCACCACCGCAAGCTCAGGTGAATATAATTGCTAGATCCATCCATGAGTTTTGTTTCAATTCATCGACATATTCCATATGTAGGAAATACAAACATTCATGCCACCCCCGCCGGTTGGACAAGTGCAATTAATTGGACCACCATCGACAGTCAGTCAAGTGCAATATCAGATCCATCCTGGACAACCCTTGCAAATTCAAGGACTTCAACCTGGTTCGCAATCGTCGCCTCAACCTGTGGCTCAGATGTACGTGATGAGTCAGCCACCTCCACAGAATCCAGCTCAACAAAACTTTATAACGAGCAGTAGTGCACCGGTTAGCGGTGCAGTTTCCTACGTGTACACGCAACCGAATGTGCAAAGGTCTTCTACACCTCCCCAAGGAATGATCGAAGCCGTCAACGTCAATTTACAACAACCACCTCCGGCGGCGCCAATTAACATAACCCAACAACCACCTCCACCATTGTTACATCTTCATTTTCCACCTCCGAACTTCCCACCAAATCAACCACCACCTCCTGTACCACAAACTTATCAAATACAGTACCAGCAGGTTCAAGCGCCGGTATCTCAAGCACAAACACAATTTGTGTTGCAACCTGGCGAACATATGGTTCCCCCTCAATTGCAACAAAACCACGAGCAGTCTCAAGCTGTGGCTCAACATATGTTGCCTCCACAATTCGAAGGTCATAGTCCACAATTTCATCTACAAGTACCTCCACCATCCACGCAGACTTTTTTGGTCCCCAATGCTCAGTCTCCACAACACCCGCAACAACATCCTCTCACTCCTGGAGGTGAAGTTCAACATCAACAAGATGGACCGGATCAGGGTCCTCAACCTCAGCCAGTTCCACCTCCACAAATTGTACCACCACCATCAGCGGCTCAAATGACAAATTCTATGAATGTTCTTACAAGTATTCCTCCGCCAACACAGGCACCACCTTCGCAAAATGCCCCATGGTTATATCCACCGCAACAACCACAACAGATGCTACAATCTCAGGGTCAATTGCAGGTGATTCTTCACATATCTCACTTAAACCTATGACATTTTTGCCGTGAATCGAACAGCCAAAAATGTCAAATTTGTGTCTCGTAGGTCCAAATGCCACCAGGAAACATGCCTCTGCATAATGTACCTCCGCCACAAGTTCAAGCCCAGATACAATATCATGCTCAACATATGCAGTATCAGAATGGTCATATGCCACCACAAGTACACTACACTGTGCAGCCACCTCCTCAGCAGTTCGATCAAAAACCTGAATCGCCGGAGCAGAAATCTCATGGAGTGAAAAGAAGGTTTTCAGACGTTGAAGCGAACCCGGTAGGTTCCCGAAATTGTAGTGCTTTATGTTTTTCTTATTAGTATTGGTTGACAATTTAATTAAACCGTTTCCTGTGAACTGTAGGAAACACCACCCTATCAGTGTGGTCCATTACCTGCTCAGCGTCATGGAACAGGGTAAGTAAAGTAATTAATATACAAACTTAGTTTTGTACACAGCATAATTATTACATTTATGTGTATAAGAAGCGAACATTTTGCGATGTGCAAAATTAAACTGTACGAATAAAGCAGGTTTAAAGAATTTTAATTATTTAAAAAATATACGAATGTTCAAAAAATGAAATTCAATAGATTTATTTTGATAAAGTCAATTTAACGTAATATTCGATTAAATTCAAATTTGAGAATAATTTACAATAGTATAATTATAATGAGTATATTTTTCGTTCCTTTATTTCTTCTAACTATTTGACATATTAGTACTAACTGACGATTATTACACTTCACTAATTTTCTAGATGTAAAAAGTATAAGTTATAGGCAGCAAATAATGTGCTTGAGTATATTCACTCGAATACATTAAATTTCTTTCAGAAACCTGTGCTTTGATCATCTACCAAAATCAGTATATAGGAAGGAAACGCTTTCAAATGCTCAAAAACATAGTAACACCTAGATTTTTTTTTCTTACTATTAAAACTGTTAGCATAAAGACTAAGAACATTTGATATTATAGTATAAGGAGTATTACTTTATTGCTGACAAGCCACAAACTTGGTAAAGCAAATTCTGATATTTGCAATCAGTCTATCTTTAAGCAGTGGTACCATTCATAGATATGTAAATTATAATGACAGTGCATTTAGTGAGTCAATCAATATTGCTTAAAGACAGTGACTGTGAATATAATAAGTTTATTCACAGAATATTATGTCGGACAAAGAATTATTTGTATTCATTTTTAATAACAATTTTTTGTAAATACAACTCGAAAATCTTTTCTAAATTTATTACTTCAGTGATGTAACTCGTAGAAGTTTGTATATAATACATACTTTTATGATTAGTTGTAAGGTCTTGGCTGAAATAATAAGTTTTTAATCAGAAACATTATTTATAGATTTTACTGTTTTACAGATTAAATAACAAATGATTGGACAAATTCACAATAATAATATTCTGTGTGAAAAATACAACTAAATACGTATTGCGACATAAAGTTTTTGTATCATTAACTGTAACCTGGGGACACCAGGTACTTTTAATATTTCAGAAGTATCCGTGCCAGCTCGTCAGGTGATATTTGCTTAAAATTTTGAAATGTTTATCGGTAATGATCGAATCTGTGTTAATAATTATGTAACTGAATTGTTTAAGCAGAGAAGGTGAACGGCAGCAACAAGTCTTACATGGTCCATCACCAACAGCTGCGGGTCTACCTCATGGAGATCGAAACAAGCTGCTAATGCCACCTCCACATTCAGGTCTGTAACTAAGAGTATACAAGACGAAAGAGTGCTGGATACCTTTTGGAAATTAATGCATGAAATGCATTGGATTTCTTATCATTAACACTTTCAGGGCCGCACATTTAATATTAACTCTCGTATACAGCTCAGACTGTTTATTGTCCTTACTTCATTTGTTTATGATGTCATGAGTTCATCGTATAATTTACTAAGAAAAACATCAAAGCAATCACCAATTAATTTACCTACTGTTGGTTTTTATTGAAACCGTAAATGGGAATTAATTTTGCTTTGCAGCATTTGAGACAGTGAAACGATGGTGAAATGGGGATTGCTTAAATCTTCAGACAGTTACATCAATTCACAATAAAAAATGGTCAGTTTAAATTGATCATTTGTGTAGTCCGTAGAAGCGTTAATTTTTTTTCAGAATAAAAAGTATTACTCGTCCGAATTACTGTCAGATAGAGAAATTATGCGTCCGTGACAGCGGCCGTCAAAGTGTTCGAGTCTAACCTAAATACAATAATTAAGAAAAGATTGACAGCCATTCATAATACACTGTGCACGTATAATGTGTCTATGATTTGACAAAATGTTTGTATTGTTTTTTCAGATGGGTATCTAGCATTGTTTCTCAATACTCTTAGCCTGTAGTATATTATACACTGTAAATATATATTTTTGCTAAACGGTATGAATTTCTTCTTATTCTTAATTGATACATATTAGCGATCTGTTTTTTTCATGTATTCATTCGAACACATTGCAGATGGGCGACAGGAATATCTACAGAATTTATGATCCTATAATGCAAATTGCTTTCGATTTAACTTTATTTATTATTATTTAGAAGTTAACGAATCTTTCGCTACACTGTATGATTACGATAGTTAACTTGAATGACTTAATTTTAATGCTTTTTCATCATATATTTTTGATCGAAATGTATGTATTTTCAGAACCGTACAAGAAAGTGATTTTACCTTTCAGTGATTGCTTTTGACCGGTATTAACTATAATTATTATCCTTCGTGTTATGTTGAAAATATATGTTTTAATATGAGTATTTTAAGTTTAACAAATTATACTACCAAGGTCATATAATCTGCGGATCAGACGCCCGATGCCGAGCATGCGAATACACGGAGTAGCAGCGCACGTTATCATATGAATGTCAATGGTTCTTATTTTTAAAAACTACTCATTCTAGTTTGTTATGTATGCAAAAAGTTTGCAGACGTGCATTGGCTCTCGCTGAATAGCTGCATACCATTGATTTTGTTAATAGTTTCTATTTTACAGTAAATCAATCAAAGATTTTGAGGCCCGTATCAATCAGGAATCTGGATTCTCATTGGGCGCAAACGTGTTTTTAAACATGAGTTTTCTTTTACAGATTTCAAGCGAACTCAAGGACACTAAATAAGTAGGATAAACGCGATATGGTAACGGTGACATACGTAATTAATGCTACGAGTCTATTTACTATCTGTTTTCAGCTATGCATAGCAATTATAATAATTATTTTTTGAGTTAGAAATGGCCAATGATGTGGAATATTGTTAGTATAGTATGGGACTCTGTAGTTTTACAGAGTGCAATAATTGAAAACATTTAAAAAAAAAATTAACCGCACAGTGTTTCACCTTGAGCAGAAAAATATAAGAAGCAGTAGTAGTTAATTATCAATTGGAATGGAATATTTAAATTCTTAACAAAATTATTTTCGTATTTACAATATTTCCTCACGTTATTTGCCATATTCAAGTATACAATGCATTTTACATACAGCTGTTACGCATCCTTCAATAAAATTCTTTTTATTTCATGAATTGCCGTTATTTAGGTGAAAAACGGAGCATGGACCAAAAACCTGCAGGCATAAATTCAGGTATACTCAATGTTCTTTTACAGTATAGTTTTTTTTATTAATTTTCGGTGTATTGTGAAATCAGTTTCTTCATGCGTGTACGTTTTTGTTTAGGAAATGAACAGAATCCAATGGGAGATTCTGTAAACATTCATGCCGGAGGCGGTCCGCCTCTTCCTCCTCCACTTCCTCCACAGGCACCATGGCAGGCACATCATGTCAGAGCACCATGGGGTAGACCACCACCAATGCCACGAGATGGAGACCATCAAGGAATGTGTCCCGCTTTACCTCCTACAAATATGCCACCACCTCAAATTAGACCCAGAGGTATTCACAAAGAGCCATGACAATGATTATAATTACGATTGTAGCGATGGAAGTCTCGACATCTGTTTCATCTACCTTTAAATTTCTTTAATTTTATGTAATATACCGCTCTAATTAAGAGGGTATATTTTGGGACGCTTTTTCAATAAATTAAATAGCATATCTTTGTTAAGCTTCGTGAACTTATTCGCATATTGTTAGTTTCGTTATCGCAATTATTATTTATTAGGAAAGCAGACCAATTGAAAGAAAATCTGTAAAGATATGTTATTAACAAATGATCATTTAACGTTCGAGGGAGACCTCGATTTCCAAAAAATCACTGGATCTATGAATAATTTATCTTTACGTATCTTGCGTATCTTTACACCGATGCGTAATTATAAATGTCATATGTAGGTTCCATTGAGTGTTGAAAGTATGAAGTAATGATCCGATATGTGTTCTTATGATTACTTAGGACCTGTTGAAGGCAATCGATCGCCTGTTCAAAATGCGATGCTGGAGCACCCGATGAATGTCGAGTATAATCAAATGCCACAGTACACGACAAAACCTCCCCCTTACAATTCACACCCATTGATGCAATCCATTTGTAATCCACCGCCGCCTCCTCCACCGCATCATCAACAGCGACCGCAGCATCCTCCTCAGTCGATGCAGCATTACCAGGTGCCAATTTCTCAAGCATATCAGCCGCCGACTTCCTGTCCACCATGGATGAATTAAAAAACGGAAACAGAAAAACAAAACCATGACATTATACACAACACGCGAACAAAGTACTCTTACGCTAGTACCTTAAGATGGCCAGGTGCGGCTTGTCCGATTACATCGGTGCGTTTCCACTTCGGATGCTATACCGAGATGCGATGGAACCACGTTAAGCGGACGAACGTTGCATTGCGTTGTCTTCATTCGATTGTTCCTTGTGATTGTTAATTATAATTTAAATATCCGTTACGTCGACAGCGTCGATGTAGAATACGCTGTTCTGTGAAATCGAAAAGATGTGTACATGTTAAGAAAATTATTTATAGTGAACCAGTATAAGGCTTTAGATAGCAGAACGCTAGTAATGAATTTATAAATACCGTGTTAACTTATAAGAAGAGTAATTCGATTGGTCAATTTAGATGTGCAAAATCGAGACGCGTTGGTTCGCGCGGTTCGTTTAAACGAAACGACTACTCTTCTGATCGTCGGTGCAATGTGGGTGCATATAGTTAGAAAGAAATAACCGGCATTAGTTCCAAGAGATGATATGCTTTCAATATTCACGCACACAGACACACCGCGAGGAAAACCTAGAACTATGTACTTTTTGTATTTATAGGACGTAATTAATCCCTTTCTCGAATTTACCGTACGCTGTATGTTCCCTTTCTTTATCAGTACGCCGTATCTGTTTCTAGATAGACAATACATATGCGATATGTAAGATTTTCTATGGAAACGTGATTAAATCGTTGCTGACGACCCTACGATCCGACACATGGACTTCTCTGTAAGCAACGCTAGACGAATGTATCACTGTTACAGTACAACTTCTCTGGTTTTACGATTTATGCGAACAGGGTCACTAATCGCTCCTCACACCCCATACATGATTCTGATATAGGAATTTTTGAAAACAGTATGGTTCTTTAGCATTACACGATCATGTGCGTCGCGCTCGAACCGATTGAATTTGGACTGATCTACCAAATTCTTTACTTTGGGTTAAGACACCGTTTTTTTATGGTTTAGTTATAAAAATATATTTTCCGATGGAATATAATTTTTTGAATAAATTAATTTAATCAGAATAAATCTTTGTGCAATAACAACGCCCGTCACTTCTCCTTTGTCCACTTTCATCCTCTGTTTAGGCCAGAAAAATATGTTCTTCAATTTTTCATACCCCGAAATTTGATCGGTACGTCCTTTAATTTTCGCAACAATGAAAATTTCTCGATAGCTTGATCTCTAATTGACATTGCCGCAACAGTGTAAATCGAGCTTTTGAGCAAATTCAAGTGCCTCAAAAAAGTGTGATGTTCACTTTTTGGGACATTTAAAACTGCCCAAAAGTCCGATTTTCACTCTTTGAGCCGCTTAAACTAGCTCAAAAAATCGTCTTTCACTTTCTGATCCTTAAAGTTGCTCAAAAGTTTGTCCTTTAATTTTTCTCCCAAAGTTCGAACGAAAAATGATTCGGTCGGAAAAAATTTCGGGTTTTGAAACTTTTGAGCAATTTCTCTTTCGAACGTTCTTTTTTTACCGTGACAAAATGTAATTTCGTACTTTTGAGCGACCATTAATTTTTGACTGTGCAAACATCGTTCCACCGGATTCGCCAATCGTTCGCTATCGATCTCAGTCAGCGGAGTCGTTAAACCGGCACCGTTTTTGCCATCAATCGGCTATCGTTCTAATTAAAGTCGTTAAACGATACAACAAGGCACGTACACCGATCGAATATTGGCCTAGGTTTCCATGCCGCGCGAAATTCTGCTTAATACAAATCCGATGAAGCCGTACACCGGTGAAATTGTCTGTCGTTATATGAGGCGAATGGGGCGCGTTAAAGGGCGCAATGAAATGGAGTGCCATAAAACGGGGGGCCGTTACATCGCGTAATTAAAAGAGGACATCAAGATTTTGCGACAGAATACAATTGTTCAAGACACATATTTCATACTAAAAGTAAATTGATCGTAAAGTGACTCCATTTTTATTTAGAAGTACGACCAGGCTTGTATCGGGCTTGCGCTTGTCTTTACACGTAAGCTCCTAATTTGGCTTTAATATTATGATATTATAATATTATAATACGTTTATTTAGAAAGATTAAAATTCTAAAAATAATTTAAGACTAATTTTGAACGAACTTTGTCAACGAATGTAATAATTAGTAGAGTGCGGGTCTTTATGCCAAATAAAACTTATCTTCATCGATTGCGTTCACCAATTATCTTCATCAAAAGATGAGTCAAATAAAAATTTCTTTCTTTCTTTAATGATTTCATCGAGTTGAAAATAGCACATAGATGTCCTTAAATTCTTTGAATATCTTCACTGTTTGAAATTTCACTCATTTTTATTACAGACGCATCAAATTCGCGGTCGAGCGATTAAATGCGGTAGAAGATATTATCGCTTGTTAATCAAATTTCGTGGGATCGATTAAAACGGATTACGATGTTTCACGAATCAGTTGCGGCATGAAGCGACTCGCTTCATCGTTCAGTCACCCTTCCATCATCGTGGCCATAACCAAACATCTCGATTTACCAACATAGCTAATTAAAATCGGGGGAATGATCGAGTCGATCCCAACAAATTACAGCAATGTCCCAGGTGTGTCCATCATCGTCGCACCAGCTAGTCGCAGCCTCCATTGCTTTCCAACGCGCGCGTCGCAGGTTTCCCAAGAATTATGGACTTTGCGGTAACTTCGAGAACAAGGTAATCGCCTTTCTAATAGAAACGGCATTCGCTAAACGCGAGGACCTTTGTCAAAAGACCGCGCCTCGAACTCGGGCGACGCTTGACAGTGACGTTTTATCGTAAATCAAATTAGGCCGAGAGCGTGACAGAGAACGAGGAGCCGCAGGAGTCGGAGAACGTTCAGTTCTCTTCGAGAAAATGCTCAAGACCAGGCCTTAGTAAAACAGTCTGGAGCGACGAGTACGGCGAAAGTGGCTCGATCAAGGAAAACTTACTTCAGAAACCAATAATCTGCAGTTGCTGTCGTAAACGCAACGGGGCCGCGAAAGCTAACGAACCGGCGAACGCTTCAAAGACAACGGACCAGTGCAGCGCGGGGGACGCGCTTGACATCGTTCCAAGCAAAGAGTACAATGAGATATCAAAGAAAGGCGATCCGTCCAAATCGGAACAACTGGACAAGTATGATATTTCGACCGTCGTTTTACGTAGCAGGAAAAATGTCCCCCCCCCCCCCCCCCCCCCCCC